TGACTGGCGTATGAAAAAAAATGCTACTTACTCTTGATTGTGTATTTTCGCTCGGCAAGGTTTCCATTTTGCTATACCATGAAAACTCCGTGCTATGGGAAACTTCAGAAATCGTTGTAGCTCTCAGGAACTTTCACGGTCAATCCACGTATTCGTACTTGAATCGGCCCTTCATTCATTAGCCAACTTTGTTCTCTTGCTCGCGTAGTGTTCTTCCGATAAACCCTCGCCGTGAAAAAGCTTCCTGTATTCTGGATAAACGTTTTTACAACGGCCAGATGTCCCGACCAAAGTTAATTAACTTACACGACCGCTCACTATCGTAAATCGAAACCGCGAACATATCATTGTTACAGTGCTTGCTTGGACAGTTTCCCAATTCAATGTGAGAGCTCGAGTGCATCTAAAAAACTGAATTATATTTTGGAAAAACTTATAAGACAGATGCTGCAATTTCTGGTTTCATCAAAGCAATAGAAATTGTTCTTATTATCGCACAGTCATATATTGGTTTGTTTTTATTTTTTTGAAAGAGAATTTTTTTAAATTAAATTTTTACGTTATTTGTGAGCGATTAAAAAAGCCGCTATTTTATTTGCGCTTCTGAAACTCAGATTATTGTGAACAAAAACCGTTCTTTTTCCAAGCTTTCCTTGTCGTTAGTGAAATTCGCTCCGGGTTTCCAATACGGGACCCTTCGAGACACCTCATTTCCAGCGTAATTTCATTATTCACCCGCATTCTTCACCTTGGCGCTATCTTTGAAGAAATTCGATGTAAGGAGTCGGGCCAAAGGAATGCACGCTTAATGAATCGTCGTTTATGAATCAAGGCTCCACGAGATAGCAGCTCTAACGAGAAAATCGCCTGAATGTTTTATGTCGGTGTTATACGGTATAAAGAGGTAGTGCTTTTTTATCCCGATTAAAGAAGGAACGGAAAATGTCTTTTCCTCTCCCTCCCTTTTCAGTTTCTATAAAACAAAGTAAACTCGAGAATTATTTATTTTTTCTTGATAAATCTATAAATATGCTTATCTATATAATAAATCATTAAATTTATTTTCAAAATTATGAAAACATCTTTATTACATATCTTTATTGCAGATAAGATTTAGATTATAAAATTATTAAAAGTAACATTATTAAAAAAGTTCTTTTATTATATATAATAAACGTAAAAAATCAATAACAAATCAATTGTCACAAATAAAAAAGAAATAACGAAAAATTGCGCTGTGTCAGCGAACTCGACAAATTTAAATTGATGCAATCATAGATGCAAATATTCATCTCACTCGTAACAGCGCAACAATAGAAAAAATAAATGAAATTTGTTCTCACGGGGCTGTCGTTGAACAATAGACTAACAAAAATTGTTGCAAAAATCTGTCACGTCCGTTAAAAAAGACTGTACCACGAAAGAGTACTGAGAAAAAAATCAACCGTAATATAATCAATTTGAGAAACAAAATTTTCTCTCATCCACGCGACAATAGGGACATGAATGAAATTTTTCGTAATCAAATTTTTCAGTCGACTAACGAAAACAGATCAACTTACGTTTCGATTAAACGAGATTAATTTGATTACGGAATCTCGTGATTTCTTCAGTGCTATGAGAAAAACCATTGGTATTCTTAACTAAAGCCAAAATTGGAGAGAGAGAGAGAGAGCTCGCAAAGCAATGCTTACAAATCTGATGCAGATAGATGGACGATCAATCTAGAGATGTTCGCAATTAGAGTAACGTAATTTCGCAGCGCTATCGCGGATGTACTCGTTACGTAAACTGTAATCGAATCGCGCGTTGCGTTTGTATCGTGCGGCAGAAACGAAGGGAAGAGGGAAAGGACGAAAGGAATCAACACTATAAACTAATGCTGCCCTCGCCGGAGACAGCAAAGGCGATTATCCTCGGCTCTGTAACCGGAAGGCAAGAGCCGTCGAGAATCCGATTAGAACAGTCTAAACGCGATTTGCTGGGAACAGGTGTTTTCGAGAGTGATGATTTATAAATGGTAACGGTACGATACACCAAACGGCATCTATTGCTTGGAAATGGCTTATAAAATACGATTCTTGCAGGTAATCGATGCAATTTTAAAGATACAAAAACAGTTTAGATAGATTTAAATCCTTTTCCAAGAAATTTAAAATTATTTTTAATATAATATTTTTGATGAATATATTATTTATAAAAAAATACAAGACACCAATACACATATAATACAAAATAAAATATATAAAAATAAAACTAATTGTAAGACTAGCTTTTTGGAGTGTTAATATTCGCGTTAAATAAATATCAAAATAAAATATAAAATTCGTCGCACGACATATCTATAGATCGAGAGCACACCGTTTGCACCTGCAGAAATTGCTGCTAGACGATTGCACGAATAATCTCATGGAGAGAGCAATGCGGGCCCTCATACGGATATATTCAGGTATGATGCAAGATTACATCGAACTCTTTCGGAAGTACAGGAGCAACGCAAGATATCGAAGTCGAATCGTCGATTTCGACAATGCGCAACGACCCAGATCTTCGTACTTTCGATTTACATCATCGCATGAAGTTCAGAAAAATCACCAAGCAGAGAAGCTGACGCGGAAATTGAAGAACATTACTTTCGTCGACGTTTGTCGGCTTTGCGATCCGACACGATAACGTCAAAGAGTGCGACTTCGATAAAGAAGAAAAAGATAGGGACACGTTTCTCGCGAGCACGACGGGCGTTTCTCAACTTTCGTCGCATTTGTCGCTCACGTAATAGTCACTCTCTCCGAAGTTTTGTACGTGTGTATCCCTTATTCCTCGCTTTTTCATAGGATTTACATGCTGTTATGTTCGCATTTTCGTCGCGCTATCTTTGCCTTCACAATCCGCGGGGTTTCCTCCCAAGCAAAATTGAAATTTCTGCAGTGCGGATATAAACGTCGCTCCTGCTCTGGCATTCTATTTGTATGTATTTATTACATAAAGATGAGAAATTGTTTGATATATTAGATATTTCATTTTTATAATAGTTTAATTTATATATTGGATGATTGCATAAGTTCGTGCCCGATTTTCATATAAATTATTAAGAAAAAGAATCTAAAATAAAACAATTTCTCTTCTCTCTAATTTTACCAAATAAATTACAGTTTTATTAACATAATATTTGCTTGTTAGTTCCACGATGATACCGCATTTAAGCGTTATCAAAAGAGTCTGAGCGATGAATAATTAACCAACGAATCGAGTCATGTACCTAGATACGACAAAACCGGGAAAAAGGGGTGTCGACGACGTCTTCGATAAACCGCGGGCGGCCGAAATTTTCAAATCTTAATTGCGGTGAAATGGTGTGTAATGACGTGAAATATTGCCCAGAAAAAGATGCTGACTCTTATTACGGCCAAGCGCGGGCACCGAACCTTTTAATCTAAAGCCTCCCGCCTCCGCACCTGCAGAAGAAAATGCTGACCCGTCAGTTCCACTGCCAATCTGTTACGGGGTTGCGAAATAGTATTCTCGTGTGCGCTTTTTTCATCTCTTCTTTCGCGTTTTCCTTTGTCTAACATCATCGCTTCCTACCACAACTCGAATTTTCATACACGATTTTTTTCGCGTTCGTGTAATTCCGCAAAAACCAGTGAAACGTTTATCGATCAAATTTTGACCGTTTTATTTTTTACATGTATAACATATTTTTAATTCTTTAATTAAAAATCTAATACTTCTAAAATTAGATGCAAGAATTATTTTAAGAACATTATTATATTGTGTTTTATTTTTTTCTTTTTTTTTGTGTGATAAACCTCTTGCATATCGAATACGCGTATGAAACGTACAAGAGTGAATTACATGGAGCTGAACGACAAACCTGAACTGTCTCAATTCTTACACCATCGCATTTCAAAGGAGACAAAGGAGACAGAAAATTCGCGTATTATCTTCACTCGCGGAATTCTCGCGAAGCCAACGAAGCTCGGCTCGTTGCCAATTAAACGCGGACGGTTCGTTAGCGAAGAACGAAACGCGGCTTTATTTTAATCTCAAACAATGGTCAAGAACTTCGACAAGTTCCATACCTACTGCGTTTTATTTGGCGCAACACTTTGTTTCGCCACGTCGCGTCGTCGTGTCGCGTTTATACTCCGGTTGGTTAACGGGCCTTATTTATTCACCCGTCATAATTCTAACGCTCTCGTCGTATTTAATGGGACGAATATTTCAGTGAAACATCGCTCTCTATATAACGCGACATTATCATTCATTTCCCAACGACTATACAAACGGTAATATCAGAGTAGTTTCACTTTATACATTAATTCGAAAATCACAGATGACCGATCATTCCTGATACGTGAGAATTTACCGCGAACCAGTTCTGTAATAAACCACGAATATGGAATCACTGTTATATTCAAGCATCCATCGGTTAAAAAAGAATTTATGGATCTGAAAACTTTCATCGACGTTATTACATATCTATTCTACATAATAGGATATTGTGGTACTTTTGCAATAAATAAGATTAATCTGATAATAATGCCTGGTAATCGATGACATAACACAATTTTATTTATGATATTAATATTCATTCTTAATCATTTTAGAATGTGTCTGTTATTATTCTTAACAATTTTATTACGACTTTAATCTTACAATTAATGATGATTACTTGATTAACGCGTGATAAATTTTATCATTATTATTTTATTAATCAGTTGTTAAAGCAATTACATATAATCGCAATAAAATTACCATTTAAACAATATATAACTACGTACATCGTTTTTTGACAACTGTGTTAGGTATCGATTTTTCAAAATTCTCCGGTACCATACGTGTTTACTCCCGTATCACAGCTATCCTGATTGACCCTACTATAACTCCAAATCAGTCTCTGGATTCACGAAGGCACGTGATTGCGCACGGCAGGGCCGTAGCGTCTAGAAAGGTGCAAAGGGGCGCAGGCGCCGTGCCCAAGACCGATCCTCAGTCGTCAGCGGAAGCTGAAACGCGCGGCTTCGGGACCGCTGGTGAACCGTAAAACGGTGTTGTAGATGTATACATTTTGCGCGCGCCAATTATCGACAAGGATCAACGTTTCGTGTAATATACAATAACAGTCCATCCGTGCGACGAACGAACGCCGCGATACGGACTGGACGAATGTTTTTTTATTCGCACGCGATATCATAGATAAGACTCAATATACAATATATCAATTTCGCAGTCCAGCTTGCAGTTGTGAATGTTATATATAAAAGTGAGTACTGATTTGTATTTTCATATATATGATTTCTTCGTAAATTACACACAGTGTGTATATTTATTTATTTATTAAAGAACAAAAATGTGTGTGTGTGTGTTATATACAATTTTCTTCTATTTTTGTTTTGTAAATTCAGAAACCAATGAAATTTTAGATACACAAACCGATTTAAGACATTTCTAAATATGTGTAACTTTGTCAATCACGCCGAAAATCAAATTAAATCAATTTTTATCTAGTTTTAAAAACTATAAAGTTAAGCACAGCATATATATATATATATATATATATATATATATAAATTGTAAGGTTTCTGCTCAGAATTAGTAAAATTGAATGTATAAGGTATAAAATATTACGCATACTCATCCAGGTGGCACGTTTTGTCTAACTCAATTTCTTACAGATTGAATGTCTTGGTATTCGCCAGGTATATGTCTTGGAAATTGGATACGATAAGGAAGAAAACAACGTAATTTACGAGTAACGCGGTTCATGTCATAATATTTATTTTA